GACCCATCCCATAAGTGGTCACCTGAGCTGGAAGCCCAGGTCAAGGATGGAGATACCAATTTAGGAGATACCAATAAACCTGGAACATTTCAAACAGAATGGGGAGAAGAGAGGAGAGAAAGTGGAGTGCAACTATCAGAAAGACCACAGGAGAACTGAGGAGGACCAGACTGAAACAAGACCCATGGAGTGGCCAGGTGAGGGTGAATCCTCTGGTATCAATAAAGGGGTGAGAATGGGTCCCTGCCAACTGCTGTCAAAGCAAGGCGGACAGAACAATGGGAAAGCAGGGGCTGGACTTTGGCAGAAGAAAAGGTGATGAAGACAGAATATGGTCTTTCCAGCAAAGAGCATAAATAGAGGGAGGTGAGAGGGGTTGATGAGGATGCATGTCTGTAAACCCAGCTCTTTGGGAGGCTGAGGCAGGAGTATTACAAATTGGAACCCATCCTGGGCAACTTAATGGTTTATCAAGGCCCTGTCTCAAAATAAGAAATAAAAAAAGGTTGAGGATATGTCTTAATACAAAGGCCATGGGTTCATTTTCCAGTTTAAAAAAAAATTCATAAGACATCATAACGGAGTGGAAGTACATAAAGGAAAGAGGCTAGAGGGGAAAGGAAGATCCTAGAGCAGGGTGGAAAGTAGATCTTGAAGGGGAGGTGGCAAAAGCTCTAGGGGTGTATGGAACAAAACATGAGAGGTCAGGTGCTGCCTGTTTGGCCCAAGGTATAAAGCAGAGGACCAGATGGGGGCCACAGGAGTGATAGAAGATGGAAGAATCAGGGCACTGATGACTCCATGAAGTCAAAGGCAGGAAGAGTGGGCACGGGGACTTAAAGAGCTCTAGGGACAAAAAGTAGGAAAGAGATTGGAAAAGTAAAGTTGAAAAAATGTTCACTGTGGGTCTGCACTGAGGGATGAAAATGTGCCGGGTGAAGAGCTTAGAGTGGATTTGGAAGTCCAGGAAGTTTGGGAGACAAGGGGAGGGAGGCTGGGCCATAACCCATAAATAAGGGCAGAGCCTGAAGGAAGAAGGAGCCTCAGGCTGAAGCCACTGGCCAGGAACTGTCATCCACATGGAAAGCACGGGACGGGGGACCTAGGTGGGTGCCTAGAAATGAACATTGGGCTGGGGGTTCTGGCTGGAAGGTGGGGATGGGAAGATGACAGACCTCAGTCCCAGCCTCATACCATCACCCATTCATTATGTTCACACCCTAAAAGTGACCAGGACAGTGTGGGCCAGGACTCCAATGCCAGGCATCACGCAGGGGGCACACACACCTTTGCAGCAGGAGACACTGGACAGTCAGCGTTTTAAAGCATCTCTTCCTTCTCAACTTTCTATAAGCCCAATCTAAATTTTCAAAGGAAGAAGAAATGTCCCATACTAATTCATTCACCAAAAACAGTAACAGGCCCATAAATAAAATACGATTTACTACATAGCCCTGTCTTCTCTGTGAGGCTAAATGAGAAACTTCTATTGGGGCCTCCCCAGTCTCAGGATGCATCCCTATGGGGACAGAGAGACGTTTCTGAAACAGAAAAAACTCCTGATGTTGTTAGCAGGTGGAGTCTTTTTTGCATTATTGAAAGCCTCGATTACAGGCAAGAGAAGCAACTTTCTACCTACCTCATTATGTAAGACTTAAAGTCTCACTTCCACGCCACAGAGCATGAACAGCCAAAAAGGCCTCCACGATGCTGAGTCCTATAGCCCAACGAGGGCTCCGGAGGCAAGACCCAGGGCCTTACTTCTGAAAGTCGAGAGCAGCCAAAAAGGCCTCCACAATGCTGGGCCCTAACACCCAACGAGGCTCTGGGAGCTCGACGGAGAAATGAGAAACCCAGGAGGGAACACACCAGGCTAGATGGTAAATAGACCCTTATTAGTCTGGCCAGACGGCACTCCCAGAGAGGCAACTGCTCAGGGGCTGAGGTACTTTTTATAAGGTTTTTCTAAACAAAGAGTCAGGAAATTCACAGAACAAGACTGCAAAACATTGCTTATCTCAAGCAGGAAATGTTCTACCGTCACCCTTTGTCATACCATTTGCCCCTGGGCGGGCGGTTAGCCAAGGTAGCAATTAGCATATGAAGAAGCACTGTCTGGCCTATTAGCATGGAGTCACTTTAGCTTATTCAAGTCTTACACTTAAGACCCAGAAAGACTTCAAAGGAGGTGCAATTTCAACCCACCCCCAAAAAAGCAGGCTTTACACGCATGAAACAATGAGACTTAATGAATGGTGTGAATCAACTAATGGTTTCCTTGGTTTAATCTGATAATAGAAAAAAAGCAACTTTTTTCAATTTTGGTCAATATGTACAACACAACCATAACGATGAAGCTCCTCACAGAGCTGGTGCCTTTGTAGTTTGAGACACTTTTAAGTACTTGACAATATTTCCTTTCAACTCTAACGACCTGGTAAATCTGTAGGTCAGACCCACTCGGGTAAAGGATGACACAGAAGACGACACAATTCACATTCTGAGGCTTGGGACTTGGGGAGCAGCTCAGTGGTTGTGCTTCCCTTGGATGGGCAATACCTGAGTTCATCCCCAGGACCACAGAAATAAAAATAAACAACGGAATTTCTGAGGCTTTGCCATCTCATCAGCTCAAATAAAAGGTGAAACTTAAGGTAGGTGCGGAGCAGCAAGCCTGTAATTCCAGCACTCAGGAGGCTGAGACAGGAGGATCAGCTGTGCAATTTAGCAAGACCTTACCTCGGGGGGGAAAAAAAAAGATAATAAATACCTACCGAGGTGGCAAGTGTGACAGCATCCAGCTCGACTTTGCCCAGATGTCCGCAGAATATGGAACTGACGAAGCCAATGAGAAAGATCATCAACTGTGCCAGGAACTGGAGGGGACAGAAGGAAGCAGTTCACACTGGCGCAGCTCCCAGAAGACAGAGCACCAGGGCCGCGCAGGGCCGCGCAGCAGCCCGCGCCCTGGGGTCACCCCACTCACCACGGGGC